ATTTTGCTATACCAGTTATAAGTTGCTAAAAATAGGAATTGCCAATGAATTTACAGTAAAACCTACACAATTAAAGATGAATCGCTAACATCTTCAAGATCGTATTACAATTGTTTACTTGCTGACTCCCAAATTAAGTAACAACAAAGCCTAATGCTCCGAGTAGAATTGAGAAAGGAGCTCAACATAATGCGAGTTTTTGCTTCTCGTATTAACTTGACCAGAAGGAAGCTCCACAACACCTGATTGCCGGACCGAATACGACGAAGTCCGGCTGTTTTGTTGCCGTTGCCATGGTGAGGGATCTGTTTTTAACCGGACAATGGTTGCGGGACAATGGACGCAGGACGAAGGATCCAGGAATCAATTGACCATGCTGTGGCGATGGCTTCTTGTGGCTGCCACTGCAGCTGCTGCAGTTTCAAGGGTCCATAAATAATAGGCACTAAGCATGTGCTCTGTAATCCGCCAGCAGTGTCCAAAATATACGAAGAAAGGGAAAATAAAACCAGAAAACAGCACAACAATCCAGTCCACTCCACTGGCAGCCACTCTACTCGACTGCACTCCAGTCTTTCCCACTTGCCCACAGCGCTGGATTTCTTTTGGCTTGGAGTGGCCAAAGGTGCAACTATTTAAGGCACTACGACTGCCACAAGGCAAGCTGTATGAGTACACTCGGAAAAATTTGTAATTTGAAACTGATATGAAACCAATTTTTTACAAAAACCTAGAGAGTATCTCGACTATCATATAAACGTTACTCAGCTTTAAGGGAGTGCGAGGAAGATGGATGTATGCGAGCTGCAAGGCGACACCTAGCGGGCAAAGTTTTTATTGCTCACAACATTTTCAAGAAAAATCGGTGATATAGAATTTTTTTATATATTATAAAATTTTGAGTAAAAGGAAAGGATCGAAAAATAAATTTCAAAATACAACGAAAAACGCTACAATGTAGTAGGATTGAAAAGCAAAGGTAGATGCCGAAGTTATAGTTTTCAAAAGAGAAAATATATTTCAAAATAAAATCAAAGGAAAGATAAACATGTTTCTAAACACTTTCAAACAGTTCTTACTAGCTTCAGAGGAAACTTTTCTTAGAGTGTAAAATAGCCTCGCCTTCTGATTCCGGTGGGGCAGCGCAGCACATCAGAGCGCAGTACACAACAGGATCAAAGTTTCGCCCTGCTGCTACCCCATTTAATATTAAACGTTTTGCCTTGCCCAGCTGCCTGGGACTCTCGACTATACCTCGAATTCCCTCCGCTCCTCAGCAGATTTTCTTTCTGGCGTGGTAAACTTTTGCTTGTCTGTTGGGTTTTTGCCCCTTTTGTTTGGTTGGCATCGGAAGCGACCGTAAAAACTTGTCGAGAGTGATAAATAAAACTATAAATAATTATGCTAAATAATGAGTTGGACCCAGAATGCCAAAGACTGATTAAATCATGACAATGCATCATACAAACAAGAAGGGAAGCTACCTTCGGCCAGCCGAAGCTTATATACCCTTGTAGATTAAAGAATGCTTACTCGGTGCAGTTCCAGGAATTCCAGATTCAGCGTATTTATTTATTAAAATTTTGTTTTTAAGTAGTCAAGAATCAAAACGCCTACTTCCTACAAAGTTACAATGAATTTTCTCATATTTGTTTGAATATTCCTAATGGAGCCTTAAGATATAGTGGTCCGATCCGGCTCGCTCCGACATATGTACTACCTGCAATAGAAAGAAGACTTTCGGGAAAGTTTCATCGCGATAGCTTTAAAACTGAGAGACTAGTTCGCATAGAAACGGACAGACTGACAGACGGACAGACGGACATGGCTAGATGAACTCGGCTATTGGTGCTGATCAAGAATATATATACTTTATGTGGTCGGAAACGTCTCCTTCACTGCGTTGCAAACATCTGACTGAAATTATAATACCCTCTACAAGGGTATAAAAAGAAGTCTGAGGGTAGAACTGGGTGTAACTATAGAATAGTCGATTAAGAAATTGCCGTCTAACGTTTTTTTATTCTCTTAAGAAACAAGTGAAGAAAAAGGTGAACTTAAAAAATTATCTATTTCAAAAGTAGTATATGTTTTTGTAAAATTGTTCAACAAAATAATGTTATAATTTACAAAAATTAACTTTAAATACAATTTTTGGCAAAGTACTTTCTTTTTCATGTTTCGTTTTTTTTCCAGGGACTACTCTTAAGTAAAAGGTATGAAATATTATCTTATTAAACACCAAGTGTGTAGTGCTCAGGAGGGGATTAACCAACAAGTTCGGCCTTATGCTCATAAACCCGTTCACACATTCATTAATGCGGATCACCCGTGAGTGCTTACATCCATCATAAAATTACTAGGGGAATACGCACTTCAACAGGAATTTGAAACACTTACACTGGCAAAAATGTTACTGATGCAGCATGCTTGCCCAGGCGGACACATATATGGCTTGTAATAATTTTTTTTTATAATTACTAGGCTTATCCCACGCACGAACGTATTTTAAAATCCAATTTTGAAGTTTTTTGTGTCAACAACTACTTTTTTAAGGGTTTTAATATACTCTTTTTCTACAATAAGCCTTAAAAAAAAGTAATTTTTAATTTATGGCAAATGGGTCAGAACGCCATTCCTCTTATTGCATACTACACGACCAAAAAAGAATTTCTTCAAATACATATTGTAATATCCCTGGCCAATACATATTTCTCTAAGTGTACTTTCGGTTTGTTTTGGCCTCGTCCGCTCCTCGATGGCCGGACAAATGTGGCCTCGTTAGCGGCCTGGTCGGTGAAAACGAGTTAATCGAGGGCCGCAAGGACGAGTGGGTGGGAATATGGACTGCGGAGAACGGAGAACGGAGAGCGGGCTGGACAAGGGCGCTAATTGCGTGGACATGCCAAATGTCGCACCTGTCCTGGCCAAACAGGACAAACGGCAAACTGGAGGGCAGGATGCGAGCCCCGGAAAAGGATCGAGGATAGGTGGCATAGCAAACAGCAGGCGCTGAAATGGCAAATAAACATTAGAGAAAATACAACAACGGCAGGGGCACATCAAAGGGCAATCACACGTGGCTCGTATCCTTTTTTCGCACTTGTCCCCGGTCCTTTCTGTCCTGTCCAAGGGATGCATACCGAAGGAGGGGGTGGCAAAACGAACGAGCTGGCCGCAATAAAAGCGCAACACGTAATTGTTGTTGCCATCTAATGGCCGTTCGAATGAGACGGGCGGAGCGAAAGGATACACGGCCAGGATAATAACACTTGAAATGGGCAACAAAAGGAAACGATAAAACAATCAATCCGAGGAAGCGCTCAGATTCAAAAACAGAGCAGAAAAAAGACAATGAAAATCGCATAATGAAGTTATGGCGGCAAAATCGGACTAAGACCGATAGAATTTATTGCCTTCAATTAGAAAGCATTTGCGCCACACGAACTAATTCATTTATGTAATTATGCACTTATACATTTTAAGTATCATACATACGTCACTGGCCATTTGCCTTCTAAGCTTTATTTCTAAACTGCTATTTAAGAGGTTTTCTTGAATATAATAACATGAATAATATACAGTTTTACTGTGCGGATAAACTCTAAATAAAATATTCAGCTAATAAAATAATAGGTCATAAGTAAATGAAAATATTAATCATTTCATTAAATGCGTTTTTCGATGCCAATAACAATAATAAGTTAAAATTTGTCTTTTAACTCCAAGCCAGTAGAATTCTCGATTTGCACATTTTTTTGTATTAGTATAAACAGAAGAGGAGTTCGATGTCCATCGACTTGGTTGGCTTCAGTTGGCAGTGGACCAGGGAAAATAAAAACGAGACCCAGGACCGCCGATGGCCAGCAATCTGCTCAGTGGTAAGTGAATAAAGCGAGTCATTCTCCATTCGCCAGCTTCACTTGGCCAAATTAAAAGCAATAAAAATTACCGACCTGGGAGAAGGGGAATAGAGCTTGGCTCCAGGACGAAGTGTTCACATGCATGTGGAGTGTGAAAAGTTGGCTGACCTGCGGGTGATTTCGCAGAGCTTTGTGGTGTCCTCGACAGGGTAGTTTACCTGTTGCCTCAGCAGATGCTTAGCTGTATCGTCAGGGCCAATGACTCGAAGACTAACTAAGTTGAAGGAAAAATTCTGATATTTATATGTCTTAAATTGCACACCCAAATAATCTTTAATCTCGCAGTTTTCAGATTATACTTCATGCAGTATGGTATAAAGGCTGTACTCTGTAGTATTAGGCTAAATTCAGTTCCGAAAGTTTAACTTAATATTTCCGAAAGTAAACACAATGCTTTAAAATTAATGTATGATTTTTGATTTTTTCGGTGTAGGCAATCTTATATCCAATTTCACCTATGCCTTTCAAATATATTGAGTTTCTTTAATCAAATTGAATTGGTTTATCTAAAAATGTATTTTCTATAATACTTATATGTTTTTGTATTTTAAGCCGACTAGCGTTTATCACAAAGTCGCCATTTGCTTGGTTTTTAGTTTTTATCAGGGACTGTAAATAATGATGACTGATTTATTTATTTTTTGAACCAAAAAATCAAGCACCTAGGATCGACAAACGCAAAAAATTAAAACACCACAGAGATCGTCTTTCCTTAAAATATTCCTTTAAAATAATGATTTTTTTCTTCGTTTTTTTATCACAAATAATGAATATTGAGTGAGTTTTAAAATAAAACTCAATGATTACGGTCCCTGCTCTTAATATATATAATTATTTTTTTTTCATTTCTTAATTTTTTTAGTTTTTTCTGTGGTTTACACGAGCTACATGCACTCGTATACTCCTCTACAGTTCTACGACCGCCAGTGCTGGCGGCTTGGAGTGGTTGGCAAACAGTTGCATCGCCGCCGGATCGGCGAGTAATCAAAGCTGGACACGAAGCCCGGGGCTTCATCCTGAATGTTTGCCCTGCTCTTGATGGTGGGCGGTTTTAGAGTGCGCCTGGGTGCTCAGCCGCTAAGCCTGGAACTCGTCCTGCTCCTCCGGGGGCCTGGTGACCTGTGGCCTGCCGTGGGGGAGCAGCTGCAGGGGTCGATCGGCCGCGGCCGGGGGCTCCAGACTGGGCAGGGGTATGAGGACCTGGCCGGTCCTTCCGAGCGGGCTGCCCTCCCTGCTGCCCAGAATCTCCTTGCTCAGGACGAGGTCCCTCCCCAGCTGCTCCTCGCGCCAGTGGACACTCCGCTTGCCGCGCTCCCTGCCAGCCAGACCCTGCGATGCCGTGGCTGCCACGCCTTGGATGCTCGTGGCACTGGATGGCCAGAGCCGTGAATGGCTGCTGACGTCCGGCAGACTGCGGCAGCTGCTGAAGCCGCTGCCCCCCGTGGTGGTGGTGGTGGTGGTGGTATTAGTGGTCTGGGCAAACAGCTCCATCACACTCGGCGGCTGGGCTTCCTTGTGCGCCGACTTGAGGCGGTGCAGCGTGATGCAGAACTCCTGGAAGCCGTGCACCGTGTGGTAGTTGTCCGGCTGATCCTTGCAGCCGGCCAGGGCCATTTCGGAGCCCCCGATGCGCGCCTGCCGCTCCATTCCCGGCGACCAGGTGCGCTGGTAGTGCGGCGCCTCCACGTCCAGCTGCGACTCGTCCAGGCGGTCGATGGCGCTCTGCAGCGCCGGGTCCAGGAGCCCCACCTCGCGGGCAGTGCGCACGTCGTGGCGCCAGAACTGCTGATGCCGCCGCACCGCCGGAGCCACCTCCTTGATCCGCAGCACCACCACGCCCATCAGCCAGACGCAGACGATGTTCAGCAGGGTCAGGGCCATGCTGACGGCCGCGCAGACCAGCAGCTCCACGGAGAGCAGCGCCGAGTAGGTGCGGTGCTTCGTCAGGCTGGCCAGCAGCTCGTGGTCGGCGGGCAGCAGCTGGCACCCGATGGCCAGGGCCCCGAGCAGGCCGGCGTTCACCGCCGGCGGCAGCAGGGAGGCCGAGATGGCCACGCCCACCAGGGAGCCCGTGTTGCCGCCCAGCACCGCTATGGCCCCGGCCGCCCCCGAGGCCAGGGCGGTGCAGACGCCGATGGCCAGGGAGTGCGTGTCGCAGCGGGAGACGATCTCCTCCGTGAGGCCGGCGGATATGGCGAAGAAGTGGCCGAAGCCACAGACGATGGCCCCGAAGAAGAAGCCAATGGCCACGGACACGGCGATGCCGAGCAGCTCGTTCTTCAGGCCCAGCCAGCGCAGCTCGCGGTCGCCGATCACCGAGCCGAAAATGGCCGCAATTATGGGTCCCATCAGGGGCGAGATCAGCATGGAGCTGGACAGGAACAGGAAGCTGTTCTCGACGAGGCCCACGCAGGAGAGCAGGGCGGCCGCCATCAGCAGCACCACGAAGTCGAAGGTCAGGGTGGCGTCGCGGCGCACCTGGCGCACCACCTGGTTGACGTTCAGCCGGCACCTCACCGAGTCCATGAAGCTCTGCCAGCCCTGCTCCTGGCCCTGCTCCTCGGGATCGCCGGCGACCTGGGCCCTGGGGCTCTGCGGGCCCGGCTTGGACCGCGTCTCCAGGCAGGTGAGGGCGGACACGTGGGTGCCCGGTCGCTCGCCGACGCCCCAGTCCTGCAGGGTGCACAGCAGCCGTTCGTAGCGCTCGTCCTGCAGGAGGTCGAAGCGCGCCTGCAGCTGCTTCCCGGTGACGTCGTGCGACCAGAAGACGTCCTCCAGCCGCAGTTCCCCGGCTATCGCCCGCAGCAGCTGCTCCAAAGAGGCGTCCTCCTTGAGCTCGGGCAGCTGCAGGGCTCTGCTGTGGGGAGGCGCTGTTGCCTCGCCTCCAGTGGCCCCGGCTATCTGGCCAAGTCGCCAGCAGCGCTCGCACACCTCGCGGGCGGAACACTTGCTCCTCTGGCAGCCACCGCAGCTGGGGCAACATCGGGCGCTGTCCGGCGGCTTGGGGCTCAGCCTCAGCTCCTCCGCCTCGGTGGGCACCGTGACCACCACGCAGACGGCGGCGCTCATGGTCTCGCCCGCAGTCCCAAGTCCAAGATTATAGATCCTGGATCCCGGATCTTAAGTTCCTCCGCTTCGAGGGCGGATTTTAGTGTGGGTGTGTGAAACGAAACGGATTCAGAAGTGTTCGGTTTCGATGGATCTCTAAGGGGCTACTGGGTTCAGTTGCTATCCACCTCAGTGGCACCCTTCCCCCGGTGGGTAGAAATTATTGCCAGTTGGTAATAATTAGACTTCGGATTAAAGGCAAGACGTGGTTAGGAAAAAATTATTTTTCAAAAAATTAAAATCGAGAATAATTTATCTTTACTCAGAATAGGTTTTTGAATCAAAATCACAAAAATCTAAAATTTATTTCCGACAAAAAATGCAGAGATCAAAACTGCGTTAATTTCCTGTAGTAAAAATATTGCTATGAAACCTAGGAAGCCTATTACTTAAAAGCTCTAGCTAGATCCCGATTAAATACCAAACTAGAATAAACTTGATTAATAAAGACCCTCACGCCCTCTGGCATAGTTTCTAAATATAATTCAATCGCCCTGGATGACTTCCACTAAAGCAGTGCTTCAGTGGGAGTCCCGCAAAACCCCTTCGCCACCGCCTACTTTCCGACTAAGCCAAAACTCAGATCAAAACAACGGACATGTCCGTTGCAACATCCTGATGATGAGGACGCTCCTGCGATGATGGGGATGATGATGATGATGGACGCTGCGACAGATGCGCGTTTTATCCTGTTTGCACGCGACTGCGGATGCCGCTAGCTCCTGGAACCCACAACCCCAGTTAACCCCCTAAAATCCCACCCCTATGTCAACATTTTCCTGGCGCTTCTGGCTGCGTTTGTTTGCATCCGCTGCAGTGGCTGCTTTGCGAGGACCCCGCTCCTCTAAAAACGCCCCCTTTGCCGCATAATCGAAACAACTACGGAAACTCTGGAATAAAAAAATTAAAAAAAAAAGAGGCACAGCCTGGAGGTGCAGAGCAGCCAAAATGTCAACAATCTGCAACAGCCATGAAATATTATGAGGCTTTGTGGGTGGCAGAAGCGTGGAAACGGCAGGCGTTTCGGCAGTAATAATGCACCACACGAAAGTCGCACGAAAAACGCGTGAAAAACGGACCAAAAACGCTGCAAAACCGCCAAGCAAACACACACAGATACTCAGGTACCGACACACAGATGCACTGACCCACACATAAGTGGTCAGGCATGCTTCCTCTTCCCCAGGGGCTATACTCTATCAAGGGGTTAGAGTTGAGGTTGAGAGTAACTAACTACCAAAAATAAAATAAACCCCTATCTTTAATCGTTTTTACTAGGGTTCATAAAAAATCGACAGCTTTATCGATACTATCGATGGTTTTAAAATTTAGGAAACATCTATGCTTTAGGCCTACAATCTATACTATCGCTCAAAAAATAATTTAATTTTACATGTAGGTTTAATATATTTTCCGAAACAAAAGTATTTTAAAGTATATATTTTAGAACACGACGGTATTTTTAATTGTGCTCAACATTGAATTTTAACATTAAAATTTACCATTGAATTAAAAAAATTTAAATAGTTTTTTCAACAAAAGTTTTATTATACAAGCGTAAATTTTCAATTATTTTTGTTTCATAACTATCCTTAACTTTTGTAGTTTGTTTTTTATTTTCTTTAATTTCCAATACAGTTTTAACTACAGTACTAGCTCTTCCTTCCATTTATTTCTAATTTACTTACTAATACTCGTAAGAGGTCTTTAAAATGTAAAGCAGTAGAAGAAAGAATCTAGTGAAAAAACTGCAAAGGTTTATTTGATTTGTTTGTATCTAAAGTCATATCTCATATTTTCGGAATGTAATTCGCGTCTTTGCAGAGTATTCAACGCTTCGGTGCTCCTCTTCTTTTCAAATTCACATTTTTTGTGGATTGCGGGCAGCGAATTCCTCGGTGTCCATTATCTAGCGAAGTTTTTTTTCTGCTCTTCGAAACGAACGCGTTTTCCATCTGCCATTTTGCAGTTGCTACTCATATGAAAGTACACGGCGATAATTAATTGATGACATGAAATATGCTAATCAAAATTAACTAGCTTTAAGGACGATGCTAGATTGCAGTGTATTTGTTCAACATCCCAGCACTCCGAACAATTAGTACAAAAAATTAAAAACAAAACTTGTATTCATTTATTGGCATGTATATATATTAATTCCACTTTTCCAATCAGTTATTTAATTAAAAGTTGTCTAAACTTTTGGAATATGGATTATGAAAAATTAAAAATGCTGAAAGCCCAATAATATAAACTCCGCATTCTGTCACTAATTATATCTATTTTAACAGTTGCTCAGTAAAAAATCTCAAGTTAAAATAATACCAATTACCTTGCTCCGGCATATCAAGAGATGTTTTCTCTCCGTGTAGCGATGCATGTGAGTCCGTCGAGATCAAGCGTCAAAATTACATTGTTGGCATACGCCGCCTTTTTCTGGCCCCAATTTTTTTATGCCTTTTGCCGTCCGTCCCTGCCACACCTACCAGCCTCCCCTCTGCCGCACATGCCCCCTTTCAGGCTGTTGTTGTTGCGGCTCCGCTCCTGTTGCTTGGAATCCTTGCCATTGTCTGAACAGTTGTGTTTGCGCGTGTTGTTTTTTGGCCACTTTTTTTATTCCCCTCCCTCCCGACGACTGTCCACAGAATGTGTGGAGTGGTGCGGTGAAAGGGGGCTGCAAAATCCTTGGCTGAGGGGGCGGAGGACACAGGACGCAGGACACAGGAGAAGCGTTGATTGTTGCAATTTCTCGTTAAATTGAATTCGCTCGTTCAATGCGAGCGCCCAGGGATTCGAAGTGCGAGCAAGGATTGTGGATGGGAAATTGGCGGTGCAAGAGCGGCGAGTAAAATTGGGTGGCAGGCCAGGTCCGGCAAGCTGCACTGCTTATTTATGACAAGTGGCCAGAGACGAGGGGGCGCCTGGCTTTTCCGACCGGACAACGGAAAACGAATGAATGCGACGACGCATTATGAGATTGCCGGGCTTTGGTTTTTCCCCAAAATGACACAAAACTCAGGCGGCTCAGCACTCTTGTTGCCCCCCTTTTCCACCCATTTTCCAGCCTTTTTCACTCTTCACCGAACCCTTCCGCGAACAGCTTTTATCCTCAATTAAAAAAGTGAGACGCGAATGCGATGACTGCAAATAATCCAAATGACCCGAGAACAAAAGACAGTCATGTAAATTTTCACGGAAAATTAGTTTCCTCTTTATAAATATTATTTTGTAGGGATGCTCTAAGAAGCACAAATTGGAACAACGCATGTTATAGATGCAAGTATTGAAAGTAATTTAAGGAGAACCGGGATTTTCTTCAAATGAATTAAAGATTTAAGTATAACATAAAGCACTTTAAGCCGATGCACAAAAAAGAAAGAATATATGGTGCCAAATTGAACTGAGGCTGCAATGATTCATGACTCGTTAACGCATTGTATGTAAAAGTACCTGCCTTGGACTTTCAAGTCTTCCGTTGGCAATTGTGAATTGCGATTAGTTGATCCCCAGAATTTGCACATTTTGCAAATGGCAGATGTCAAAAAGGGTTGCAAACGGGAAATTCGGAGTTTTGCTACGCACTTAAGTCAAACTTACATTTATTGCCACTAATTGAGATGCAGTGCGAAGGCGAGTATATGGCTCGAATGATCAGTGAGCATTTGGGTAATGAGCTGACTTAGGACTTAGGCAGAGGGATATACGGACTGTCCCTGGTAAATTACAAAGAGTGGCATCTGGCACTAAAGCCCAGCCTTAGCCATTCCAATTACTTAGGTGAAATGCCGGGAAAGTGGCTCAAGCCGATGGAATTGCAGGCAGAGTGGCAAATAAATAAGGTGCAAACACGTGTAAGGAGGCGGGGAAGGAAAGAGAAGGAAGTGAAGCAAGCCGGAGCAGGTAACTGAAGGCCCCAAGTTATCCTTATCATTGTTATACTTAAGTTAACAGCAGCTTAAGTAAGCAAACGCACTCGAGCTTGCGCCAGTAATCAAGCACACACGCACTCTCCACAAACGCCCTCAAATATTGGCTTTTATGGTTGCCGCACAGTGGGCAGACTTGCGCAATTGGCCTGTTCATTTAAGTAAGAATAACCGATTTAAGTAGTGCTCTAGTCCCTCTATTAATAGATCTTTTAACTAAAAATCATTCAATTAAAAGCATTTTTAAAAAAAACAAATTCAACTAAACGTCCAAACGTCCTACATTTAAATCAGCGGTCGGCAGCGCCCTATTAAGTGAGCATAGGGTTTTGTTCTGCCGGCGTGCTGCTCGCACATGTATAACGTAGAACAGCGGTCTACACACACACATCGATGAGCTGCCCAGTGAAAATTACTCACACAAATATAAAACAAAATGTCAACGTATGTGTGTGCCGACCGCTGATTTAAATACATATCAAAGTAAAAGCGCTTGAGGGTAATATTTCCTTAAATCTAAATACAATTAAAATGTTTAATGTATAGAAATGAATCCCAATTGTATTTAGTAAAGTTACTCATCTTTTTAAAATAAAATTTTCAACCAAACTAGAGAGAACGCTATAGTCGAGTACTTCGACTACCACGAGGGATATGAAGATTTGCAGTTGTCAAAGCTATTGGCTCCATCTAGCGGCTATTTTATTTTTTGCTCACAACTTTTAAAAGCATTGTCCGATTTTAAAATTGTGGGAGCCAGACTTTTTTCAAAAGTCCTTTGCGAGTGGGCGTGGAGTTTGAATGAAACAAACTTGCGCTGCGTAGAAAGATCGAAAAATTAATAATAATATTTCAAAATTTCGAATTAAATTAAACAATAACACTATATTTTAAAGCCCCCATAAAATAAGTCGAAATATAACACTTTGTAATTTGTAATTTAATAGGAATGATCTGCAAGGGTATATAGTATAACTTTCGGCTGACCGAAACTCCGAATGGGTAATCTTTATTAAATATTTTTGTAACTTATAAAGTATCTTAGTGAGTATTCTTAAAATAAAGAATAAAATTTGTAGATAAATGAAATTTTTTTTCGTGTGGTACAATTGTGTATGACCCCTTAAACACAACCCACTGTCCCTCATGGCTGCAAAGGTGCAGAGTGGGTTCTTATCGCCCGCAGAGCTGCTGGTTTGGGGCCATGGAAAAGCAGTTGAAACCGGGAGAAAGTTGGGCCGACACTTGCCTCATTTTGTGGCAGGCGCAAATCCCCATAATCAGAAAGCTTTTGCACTTTATTTGTGTTAGTTTCAATTATATAAACAACGGCAGAGACGAACAGTTGGCAGTGGAAATGGCAGGCGAGGAACCAATTACCGCTTGATTTAGGACACGCACACGAATGCAAAGCAAACACAGATACGCACTCACACCCGCACACTGGCAATCACATACTCATGCATTAGCCATAGAGCCATGACAAACTTATTGAGATTCATTGAGCAGATTGTGAAGCTTCAGTTCAGTGGCCATGGGCGGGTTAAAAGGGGCGTCTGGCGCGGTGCAAGGGGGGTGGACGGCTGCCTAAAAGGGCGTTGGAAAAAGAGGGCGTGGCAGGTTTTGTGGGCTCTTGTCGGCTGGTTTGTTAGGCAGACAATGGCTAATGCTTCAACTGGTAAATACAAACACAAATATGTACACTGGAAAAAAGATTCATCCCAGCTGTTGGCAAAAATAAAATAATAAAATAAATATTTTTTTCAAATTTGTAGAGCCTGTTTGAAATTTTAGATATAGGACATCTTTAAAATTATATTAAATGTATTATAGTTTCATTGCATTCACTAAGTATATCTTCTCTATCGAGAGACTATAAACAGGAGTATAAGCTTTAATAATAATAACAAACGTAATAAAACAGTTTTGATAGATCATCGAAATATTAAATAAATAGTACAGTCCGAACTTTGTGTCTTATCTGTGCTTTATAAAAATGAACTAGTTTTACAGTTAAAAAAAAATTAATTGAATTGATAATATAACAATAAGGCAATAAAACCTTTTATAATTGTTTACAGCACTGTATTATGTGTTATGTGCTTATGTCTGCCTGGGTGTGTGAGTGGTTTGTTTACTTAGCATAAAAGCTCAGGCATTGAAAACTAAAATACTGCAAAACACATTGAAACTCTACATTGCAAAGCATTAGGCGCCATTTCATTCATATTTTATGCACACACAGATACGAACGCACACAGCTTGCAATCGTTTAAGAGGCTGTGCGATTGTGTGTGCACTTCTGCTTAATATTTAAATAAACAGAAGTTTCCTTTCACCATCTCACAGTGCGTCAGACATTTTTCGATCGAAAATGTAGAATTTCTTCCAGTAATCCCTAGGGAGCTGAAATAGTACCCTTAGATATTGAAATATATTAATTAAACAAAATCGAACTTTGAGGTCCATGTGCTAAGAATCCTTGCGTCGGGGAACTTTTTGGGAAACGCAGTTTAACTTGGGAATTCGTAACGAATTCAAAAATGTAGCATCCATCGAGGTAAATTGTTGATGTTGCATAGTGTTATAACTAAATCAAATATGCAATTAATTTAAGTGCTCATGATGCAATTATGCACATAAGACATCAAGGAACATAACAAAACAAGAAAGGAAGCTAGCTTCGGCCAGCTGAAGCTTATATACTTGTAGATCATTTCTATTAATTTACAAATCGCATGAATCTGAATTACAAAATTGAAAAATATAGAAGGTTTTTTGTGTTCCAGTTTGTCCGTTTTTAATTTTAGTTGTCGTTTTTTTGCTGATCTGTTTTGTTTTTTAAGCCGATTGCTGGCAACACAAACTAGAAGAGATGTGACATAATGAAGTCAGGAATCACGTAAGATTTTTAAAATTTGTTTTATTTGTTTGTTGGACACCCTTAACAAACTCTAATAAATAGATCAACTTTGCTTCAGTGGCAGATACAGTATTTGATTGAGAGTATTTCCATGTACTTTTCACGCGAGAGGGAGGGGGACTTATTCCATATACCCCCTGTGGATCCGCGCTTACTTTGCTTGTTCCGGTATCTCTGTGGAGTCCCAATTAATTTTTTCGCTAGCCCAAAAGTATGCAGTTGAAAATGCCGAGTCCACACGGGGCTTCGCTGCTCGCCCACAGATGGCGCGTGCGTGTTGAGCTGGGCGGGTAGATTTGCAATTTAAATTTCAAGCAAGCGGAGGCGACGAAGGCAAGTGATCGGGGCCGGAAACAAGATGCGTATTCCCCGGACGCCATTGCACCCACAGTCAGCGCAACTCAGCTGCTGCAATCAGCGACTAATGCAGCTCGTTAGGCAAACACACAGAGGCAGGCACAGGCACATGCACAGGCACACATGATTTTATTCGCCGTGTTAACATGCCGTCTGCATATGTTTGCCAAGGACATTTCTCGACAAGAAGCCGACCGAAAAAAGGAGCGGGGGAAAAAAGGGAGGAAATGCTGTATTTTCCTAATGGCATTTCGTTCGGCAACAGACGACGAGCCTCTCACACCTACAATCTATATTTTGACAGATATTTTGGCATATTATGTTAGTCATTTCTTTGTGAATGTCTGTTGGTTCGTCTGAGCCTGTGTGTGTGGGCGTCCTGTACCTGATTTTGTTTCCATCTTTTAAACCCCGAACCCTCCGAATGGATTCGTCAGTGGCTGGCAGCTGTCGCTCCGCGCTTTATTTGCCTTTCGCTGCACCGGGAAAAAAGCATAAAACCTTTTGAAACTTAAGGGGGGAATTACTTATAGATCCTGGTATAATATCCAAAATACTTCGAGTTTCTTTCTAAAACTTTCACAACAAATTCTTCTTTTACAATTTGATGAAACAAAAAAAAATTGGGCCCTCAAAATCTGCCCTCAAAGCTTGGATCCTAACAATCATACTGCAACTAAGGTCAATGTTACACCTGTGAGCAAGGGAAACAACATATATCAATAGCTGACTTTGAACGTGTTTAACCGTACTAATATACTGTAGAAAATTAACCGAAGTCGATATGAATTTGAACATTTAACCTACATAAATCATGTTATCATTTTGAACCATTACGTACACCAAACTTAACATAGCAATGTTGTTAGCATAATACACCCATGTTAGCTAAAATCATTTTTTAGTAATAATGATGATATATGATATGATTATGATATATTTTTCACATATACTTAGCTTGGTGTGAAGTTCACAGTGCCAGAGAGAGTGAAATAAGCACAACATTAGGTCATTTAAGTGGAACTTTTAATTCACGGCATCGATACATTCAGTGGAAGATATCAATTTTAAAGGTAGTTAAGGTTTGCATCCTCCTTTCATTCGCTCGGTGTAGAGCAGTTTTAACTGATGCAACGGAATTCTCTTTGACAACTCTTTAGGCCAGTTGCTGCTCAAAGTTCCAACCATTACCCTTTCTTCCGTCCACCTGCCGGCCTGCCAGTGGAATATTTAGTTGATTTCTAGTCTGCCGTTTGCCTTTTCACCAAATTGCTGTGCGAAGGGGAAGCGACCGACTTTCGGCCAGACTTTCGAGGAACTTTGAACAACGAAGGAATCTGCCTGAAAATGGAGTTGGCTGGCTGTTGGCATTATGGTTGAGTGCGCTTTCCCCGGGGCTCCCTCTCGAACTTATCGCCTAATCCCGCATAATCGATACTTACCGCAGTCCTTGGCCAGCTATCAAATCGTGGGGAAGCCCTCAGCCGCAAATCCGCCCTTGGCCCAAGGAAAGTACACAGCTTTTTGCATTTCCGCATTTGTTTTTCTTCAGAACTTTGGTTGTTGGTTGAATTTCATTGACAAAAACACGCCGTTCGCCTGAATCGCCTTTTCTACAACTATACACATGCATTACACTATTTTCTATGCTTTAGTTTTGATATCTGTTTACAGTGGTTTCACAACTATTGGGCTTACAATACAGGGATAGAAACACGTGTGTTTTTCACTGAATGCGTTTGAAAATGCTTCGGTTTGAATGGCTTTTGCACTAACGTATATACACAGAGACAGCTACAACAGGTCCTCCGATATTACATATACATATATATATTGGATAAGTGTGATGATAATATAAAAAAAAAGATACATCGAAAGATTCAGAGTATACATATACATTGGCCTAAGTCTAACAATCAATTCTTAATCCTAAGTAATCACAATTAATATTGCTAGGGCTCGCAACAACGACAGCAGCACGCACATATAAAACTATTGTAATGTAAAAAAAAAGTCCCCCTAAAATTAAATCAACAACTTAAAAAAAGAAATCAGTTTAAATACCACAAAAAAAAAATGCCCGGGCAAACAAAAATAAAGCAAAAGTTGTTGCTAAGTAGTGAGTTTCGGATGTGCTATGTACAATTTGGCATTCAATTAAAACATTAAAAGGCAATAAATATTTACTCAGACAAGGGATGAGTGTAAAGGTGAGACAACTATGAACAAACTTCAACATGCAATTGAAACGGTGTTGCTGACACGACACTACATATCTTACACTAGACTGGGCGGCACCCAGCGACGTCCTGTGGCTCTAGTCGGTGGCCAGAGCCAGGAGTTGCTGCTGCTGCCTTTGGTGTTGCCGTTAGCGAGTGCCTGCTGCCGCGTCGCTGCCGCGAAATGTGCTGAAGAACCGCAGCAACAGCGACTGATCCTCGCCGCGGCCGTCCACCTGGCGCTCCAGACGCCAACCGATGCTCGGGAGCCACCAGAAGGGCGTGTAGCCGTCCTGGTTCGGAGGTGTTGCTGCTGGCCCTTCTACTCTTATTATTTTGCTATTCCTATTGCTACGATTAGTAATACTTGATAGTGTTGCTGCCGCTGATTCGGCCTGGCTCGATGTTGCTGCTGTCTCTGTGCTGGTTCCTGCCTCACTTGCGCCCTGGCCTAATTGCGGCATCACCTTTGACCAATTTGTGTAGGTTGCTGCTGTTGTGACGGTGGCATCCTCAGTTGATTTCGGTGCTGGTGTGGATGTGGATGTTCCTTCTGCGCCGGTTGGCTCAAGCTGCTGCTGTTGCTGCTTGCGCTGCATGCCCTTCACCAGCTCGTTGATGAGCCGCAGCTCCTGTTGGTCATCAATTTCACTGGCGTGGCCGCCAATTGTATTTGTCATTAAATTGTCATTGTCACTCTGCGCGATCAGTTCGCTGCTGCTGGGCTCTGGCGTTGCTGTCGTGCTGCTAGCGGCAACTTCTTCTACAAAATACTGATAATGAAACCGGTCAGTGGAGGAGCTCGAGTCAGCAGCATCAGCTGCAGTTGTTGATGTTGCCGTGGCCGATGTTGTTGTCGTCAGCTGAACCGGTTGCACTTTCGATTTTATCAATACCAGGCGATTTTCACCTTCATCCGTCTCGGGTTCTTCTGGCGGATGTGGTGATGTTTGGCTAGAGGTGGAGGCGGTATCCATCGACGCCTCCGCAACCGTTGTGTCGTCTGCATCTGTGCTCGTCGACTCAGTGGTGTACTCCTCCTCCCCACTTGGCACTATATCCGTGGTGCTCTCCTCCTCCTCCTCCTCATCTGGCTGCTTGGTCTGTACATCCTGGTCTGCGCTCAACGGCGGCGACACCTTGCGATGGCTGAAAAGCGGCGGCAACAGCTCTATGCTGCCGTCGTAGGCCGGCAGAAAGGCGTCTGCCTTGAGCAGCTGGTCCAGATCCGCCTCCGCACTGAATGCAGTCGCTGTGCTGGAGGAATAGTCGTTGTTGCTATCGGTGAGGGAGCTGGTCACCAGCTGGACAGCGCCATCCTGCGCCTGACCCGCCGGCAACACGATGGCCTCCACCTGGCCAATGTCCCTGTTGCTGTGTGTGAGATTTGTCGATGTGGACAGGGCATTGCTGGGAGCCGCCTGCAAGTCCCCGCCAGCAATGCGGCCACTGGCCTCCCCCGAGGGAGCAGCTGGTGTCGTTGATGCTGCTCCTGCTGGTGATGATGCTGTGGTGCTGCTGTTGCTGTTGCTGGCCTGCGTTGCCGGCGGCAGGGGCAGCTCCTCGGGCTCACCCGTGCCCGTGGGGAATTTCTTCTCGAAAATATTGAATTTCAGCGGCGCATCCTCGCTGGGCAGGGCCTGATCCTCAGCTCCAACGGCGGGCGGCAAGCCGTCCTGCATGGCAGTGGGTATGACCGACAGGTCGTACACGATCTCGTCGCTCTCCACGTCGTCGCCGTAGTCGTAGTCTCCGATGGGCGGCGGCGGGGGATTGCCGTCCGTGCCGCCGGCCAGGAGGAGCTCCTGCTTGATGAGGTCCGTGGGATCGATGTTGGACTGGGGGATGCAGAGCTGGTTGTACAGCGTGTGCCCCTGCGGACAGTGGCGGAAGGGCAGCGTGAATATCGACTTGGCGGTCACCTTCTTCTCCTTGGTCAGGTTCCGCTGCTCCGGGTCCAGGTTCACCCAGTCCTCCCAGACCATCCGCTGGACGTTGCCCTCGATGGGGCGCGAGGTGATCGGCAGGCCGTCGCTGGCCCCCAGGAAAACCGTTAGCGCCAGCACCGCCAGCAGGCAGTTGGGCGGGGCCATCTCTTCGGGATCGATCGCTCACTTACTCCTGGTCAGCGCTGCAAAGACACGAAGGGGGGCTGGATTATTAAACTGCTGTGCAGGGGGTTGGCCTAGTGCGACAGAAAAGGGGGAGCAGAAAGCGAAGGCAGCCCACAAAGCCCTTTGTGCCCCAGCAGCTGTTCAGCTGTTCAGCTGTTCTTCTGCCCGGATCACCCGCAGCCCCATTCTGCCCCGTTCTTTGTGGGCGGGGAAACAACAACGCATACCGGTTCTCTGGCCGCACACAGAGCGCCGATGCACAGTGAAGCGAGTGGGTGAATACTGTATATACTGCATATTTCCGAGAAATTTCTCTGTTTTATGGTTCAGCCAAGAGATGCAATCTATTGCCACAACTTTTCCACGTTTTTTTAAATCTCAGAATAAAGGATTTAGGAAAATCCGTAAACTAGTGCTGTCGATATATCAATATATAAATGTAAAATAATATAATATAACAATATAAAAATTATATATATCGTAATATTTCCTTTGCCAAAATAGCGAAAATAAGTTTTTTTTTATATTTTATGATATTTTTGAGTTTGTAACTTTGAATTTTAAAGTGTTGCTAAAAATGAGCATGGACTCGAATTACTGATACTTTAAGAACGACTTTTCATTATTATTACACTTATTCATGAAGGGTAGTCAAATTGATATTAAATATCAATTCTCCGATTTTTGTCTCTCGGAGATTCTCTGACTCCGAAAAAGAGAGCAAGAAGCAATACGGCGACTTGAGTCAAAACTGATACCACATAATATCAAATTGATCATAATTTCATATTTAGTTTGAATGCCTCTATATTTGTTAATAATATTTAAAATATCATTGTTCGTCTTGTTTGTTTAAAATATAAATATAAATATCATCGATATTTTGACAGTCCTACTGAAAACCTTTTCGCTACCCGCCACTTTTTAACTCCATGACACTTCCCGTCCAAATCCTCTGGGGATTTGTAATGTTTACCAAGCAGATAGATTAGGAACAAGACATACACAGATGTTCCTGAAACAACTACAGGTTTTTGAAATGCAGGTGCGTTAACACATAACACTGGCTGTCAGAATGTTGGCTTTTGGGATTTTCATTTTTAATTTATGTCTATGATGTTGGAGTTGTTTACATAAGTAATAACCACATAGGAACTTATAATACCTAAATTGTACTAAAAAATTTAACATCTAAAAGGATTTTACTTGTAGATTACGGCCCCAAGGCAGAAAATTTTCCATCACGTCACAGTTTTGAGGACCATGATTTCCAAGGTATCAAATCTTTAAATTTCTAGAATTTAGCTGACATCGTAAATCGATAAACATAGACAAAGAGCCATTTCGGACCTCTCCTTTCTTAGTTAAAATGCATTTAGCCAAGTAAAGTTTGGTCGCTATTTTTATTTGTTTTACAAATTTTTTATATATTTGCAGATCTCTTTGCATATATCTCTATTAGATTTTATTCACATTTTTTCTTTACCGCAACCACAGTACTTTGAGAAGCAATTGGATTCAAGACGAAGACACAAAGATTGTAAGCTTGGGCATCTCATTAATGGTTATATCAACGGTTCCATTCGCACACACAGAGACACACGCCGGCCATATCGCACATCAGTCATTGCTGTTGTCATCAACATCATCAGCAGCAACAGCAACAGCAACAATGACAGCAACACTATCGGCAACAACTTGTTGCTGCTGTTGTCGGAGTAGCATTGAGGTGCTGCTGCAGTTGATATTTTTGCTACTGTTGTTTCTGCTTCAGTTGCTGCTGCTTCAGTTGCTGCTGCTGTTGCTGTTGGTGCAGAGATTCCCCATGTTGCCGATGCACTTGGCTCAAGGTGTGCTCGAAATCCCGAGCACGCACAAGTGTTTATTTTTACGGCACGGCGAGAGGAAGCGAGACGGAACCATGTAGAGCGGGACAGCGACAGGGAGGCACACACATATTCATATGTAGGTTATCGGGGGTTCTTGGAATTTATAAGTTCAAGTGTGTGGCGCTGCGACCGCGACTTTTCTAACTGTTGCACTTAGGTTTATGGTTGTTGCTGCCGCTTCTGCTTCTGTTGCTGTTGATGTTGTTATTACTTGTTAATAGCCCTGCGGAATCGGAAAGTGCGTGTGGGTCGCGTATCGGTCGTAAAAGCCGTCCGCAGCTGAACTCTCATCTCTTTTTCGGAGCCCGTGTCTGAATGTCAAGTACCTAGTAGATTGTGTAGATTGGTGGGCCTGCCCGATAAGGTTAATGTCACCAGAGTAACGGTTTTAAGTAAGGCAATGACTTTGACACCCGCAGCAAATGAGGCACATTGTGCGGGGGATCGCGCTCGGCACGTGCATATTCCTATACCAAGATTAAAGTGGTCGAAACTAATTGGAATATAGCCACAAGTCTCTAGAAACGGCAACCTTTGCTTCTTCGTCACTTTCAAATCATAGTTTTGTGTAAATATAAATATGGAAACGACGTGTTCAAGTCTATCTAAAAAAAAACTGGAATGTAACTTGTTGCATTTTGACTACACATGAGCAAAAACAAGAGAGAACGCTATAGTCGGGTTGGTGTCCCGACTATTTAATACCCGTCACTCAGCTAAAGGGAGTGCGAACGCTGTACTCGGGTTGGTATCCCGACTAATAATCGTAACTCAGCTAAAGGGAGTGCGAGGGAGATAGATATATAAATTTTGATTGCGTATAACTTTTTAATGAATGGTCCGATTTGAAAAATGTCTTCTACATTTCGATAGGAATAAATATACACAACAAAATTGCATTTTTACTTTTCGGAAATCTTTAAAGATGTGGGCGCAGGACCCATTTTAAAATCGTTAGTGGGCGATTGTGGGCGTTAGAGGGGGCGTGGCGCTCGGCTAAAATAAACTTGCGCTGCGTAGGAAGCCAAAGAATATGTGTGGGAAATCTCAACCTTCTAGCTGTTGTAGTTTCTGAGATCTCAGCGTTCATACAGACGGACAGACGGACAGACGGACATGGCTAGATCGACTCGGCTGGTGATCCTGATCAAGAATATATATAGTTTATAGGGTCGGAAACGCTTCCTTCTACCTGTTACATACTTTTGCACGAATCTAATATACCCTTTTACTCTACGAGTAACGGGTATAATTATACACTGGCTTAGAAAAGACAAGTGTATGAAAACATTTCATATAGTGATTACTTTATGCTGTGAATTAAGCATAATAAAATATAAAGTTTCTTCTTATTTCGACTAATAGATACCCGTTATTCTCCGAGCCAATTTTTAAGTAGTAGTGCGTAGTAGCAGTAGTTTTTGCGATCAGCGGTCTTATATTTTTAAAAGTTTTATTTGAAAACAATAAACGTTGTAATCAGCTGGCTAAATTTGTTTTATATAGAAATATTAAGCTAACCTTTAAATGACGCAAAGTGATTGAGCCTTCTTAACCAAACGAATCCCTGTAAAACTTATTTAGTTTCATAACGAAATACGAAGTGGATTCTGAATTTTGATCAGTTGTTGCACTAAAGTGTCTGTTGATGTCATATAAAATCTTAATTATGTTTCTTCCCGATTCAAAAAGACCTCATAAATAAATTGAATTTTTTCAAAAATAGCTGGTTTTAACCCTTGGCTCCCTAATATTTCAATTGCTGCAATCAATAATCACGCTAGATCCCCTTGAAACTGCATATTGGCCCGGTTTATCCCATCACTCTCTGGCCGCCCAATAATGTGACGCTCTATTTCCCGTTTCGATTTGCTAATCTATATTTATGAAGCCCCCGGGAAACCGAGCAACGCAACCCGATGGATCCCATGGAATCCACCATTCGTGTCGGCGGACATGTGATGGCTGCTGTTGCTGGCTGTCACCAGGCATCAACTGTTATTTCAGCCACGAGAGTCCCGTAAAAAGCTCCCTAAAACACCCTCCCATGCCCCTTTGTTTATCCGCGGAATAGGGGAAGCCCCTGAAATTCCTCCCAAAAAGCCCGTTCACGGAGACCCTTCCACTGTGGTCAACAAACGGACGTGAAGGGTCGGACATTCCATCTTCCATGTCCTAAACATCCAGGGAACATCCAGGGGGCCTCGCATCAGCGCCCAGTTGAGCTTCCTATATCAGTTCATCTGTCAGTTTGGCGGGGCCCAAATTGAAATCAACTTCACACGTCGCAAATTTTTAATTAAAAATCAGCAACTGATGTCAATTTTGAGGAAGCTCTCTTCCAGTTCCTGTTCCCGTTCCTGTTCCTTTGCTCTTTTTTCGTTGTTTGTTGATTCGGACAACATTTGATGCCTTTAACGCGGACATGGAGATAGAGATAAAAAGAGGACATTTCGGCATGTGGATATGGATGTGTCGGCTGTTTGTACATAATTCCGCAAACATACATTGACATCTTGCTAATACAAAGCAGCAACACGTAGGACTCGGTGTTGGGTGCTTCGTGCCGGCACGTATTCAATTCGATTCAATGATTTAATCCCGCATTCCGTATCCTGCGTTTCGCATCCCGAATCCCTAGTCCCAGTATGCTGGCAAACACGCACACTCAGCCTGGATTTCCCGCAGATACGTAGCTACGTATCTGAACGAGTGCGTGCACAGGATCCCTCAGATTTTGACTTTTTCAGGCAGCGCGTCATGTCCCCTTAATTATTTGCTCGCCGATGGAAACGTTCTCCTGCTGCCATTATTTATTTCTACAAACGCATCTCCTTCTGTTTCCTCGCTGGCCCAACAAGGTTCGGCTTACAGGGATGCTCTGCTTACACACAGAACAAAATTTAATGTGAAATAGGGTCAATTCTACCTTATTTCATATCAATAAAAAACCAATTCAAACATATCAATTTAATATTTTATGATCAATATTTATCATATCATATCAAATATTTTATCATATATATAAATATATTAAAATGATATGAATAACTTGATATTTTAAGAATTGACCAATTGACCAGCACATATCAACCTGATCTTTTGTCAATTTTTTCTCTGTGCACATT